ACCTTGTCCACATTCACAGAGATTGCTGTCTCCCAACCCCATACGGAACAAGTGAGCGTTTAGACAATAGTGATTGGACATGAGCCGAGACTTCGTATGAAGTCTCGACCCACGTCCAACCCTTTGAACCATGCAAACTTCGACACCTTAGGGATAATTGAATGTAGCCATCGTCCCAAGCTCCCTTCACCCCATTGATGTTGTCAGCTAACGAGTGACTGCAGACCATTAATTTAAAAAAAAATTTACTATAGGCGATCATAAATGTCGCCTTCCATAGCGCACACCTTCGCAAGTGAATCCGCCTTCTCATTGCCCAAAATTGAGCAATGCGAAGGGACCCACGCGAAGGTGATGATGAAAGAACGCACGGATAAAGCACTAAGCAGCTCTCGTTTTTTCAAGAGAAAATACGAGAAGTGCATTACCGGCCTAATGGAACGGATAGCCTCGACAGAACTGAGACTATCCGTAAAAATAAAGTAGTGGTCTGGTAGAAGTGGAGCAATAGTTTCCAAAGTGTAGTGAATTGCTACCAGTTCAGCCACATACACAGAACAAGGAGCTTCAAGTTTTCGAGAGGCGCTTAGAAATTCATTAAATACACCAAAACCAGCGGACTCCTCTATTAGAGATCCTTCTGTGAAAACCATTGCAGAATCAACATGGCCAAACTTTGCAGAGTATAATGACGGAGCAATCATAGGACGATGATGCTCTGGAATTCTGTGGATTTCCTGCGTCATAGATAAATCAAAATTCACTGAATTGCCGAAATCAGAGAAGACGACACGATTGGGAATATTTCTTGAAGGGCTGACATCCTGTGTTAAACATAGGTAGTACAAAGTCATAAAACATGTTTGAGGATTTAGCTCCAGAAGCTTCTCAAAGTTTTCGATCACCAGTGGGTTCATAACTTCGCAACGGGTAAGGAGCCTCAGAGATAACTCTGAAAAACGGACTTCGAGACTCGAGTGCATGCATCCTAACGCGATACGAAGACAACGATACTGGATCCGTTCCAGCTTGATGATGTGCGTTTTAGCTGCCGACTGGAAACAAAAACTACCATATTCTAGAACCGATAAAATCGTTATCCGGTACAACGTCAGAAGAACTTGTGGATGGGCTCCTCACCACGTTCCGGTAATTGATCGAAGGAAATTGATCCTTATTTGACATTTTCGTCTCAGATACTCAATGTGGGACCTCCAGGTGCATTTGTAATCGAACCAGACCCCGAGATATTTGAAAGACATGGAATGAGTGATCGGCTTACCCAAAAGTTGAAGCTTAGGTTGTGCTGGGCTATGCTTCCTAGAAAAAACGACCAAAAGTTATGCGTCTGGTTGACATGTTTTAAATATATACACGTTTTAGAGTCCTATAGAGTCCCAGAAAGACCAATATGTTGGTCGAAGATAAAATAGTAAATATTAGATTTCTTCCAAAATTGAAAAGGCAATCGCTATGCCCAAAGCCGGCTCCAGGCTTCAACCAAAGGGGGCATTACCGTGATTTGTATATTTTCAAGATTTGCTTATTATGACGTATTCCAGATTCGCTTTTTTGGTACAATGTTGATGCTGGTAAACCTTAGATTTGCATATCAATCTGCTCCATATATTAATTCTTAGTATTATCATCGAAATTTAAAAAAACAGGTTGACAGCTTTCGGTTTGGGAAAGACTACTGCTTTTTACTTAGGACAACCTAAATTTTGTCTGAAGCTGCTGAGTGAAATAATAAACAAATTTTTGACTTAACCATTATGCCATTTTGAATTCCTGCTCTCCACACGTCTTGCAACATGATCTTTCCATATACTGTGGAGTGGCATAGCAGTCCCAGAGGGTCAAAAAGAGACATCAGGCATTTCAACATTTACCTTTTTGTTGGACGTTCGCCGTTCTGAATCAAATCACAGATTACCTGACTCATTTGGGTTGAGAAACTGAAGGCGTCCTCCTGTGTCAACCATAGAAGTCCGAGAACACGTTCATAGTCGTTTGTTGCGAGCTGCTTGCCTTCTTTGGACTGTGGTAAATCAAAGAGAGAGGCCGAGGTAGGCCCTTTTCAAATGTTCCGCGAGAAGAATACAGAATTAAATTCGAAAAAAAAAAATGGCTAAGTCCAATCAGACTCACGCCTGATATTTCAAAATGGCGTATTCGATATTTTTAATAAATCATATCACAAAAAAGGCTCATCTAATCGAGACTAAGTTGTAGGAGATTGCCTTTTCAACAAAAATACACACTGAATAAAAAATAACGTGTTTATGATTAATATCAAAATGCTAACTTTCAGAAATGGTTACAATGGACACTTTTAATTGACCAAAATCGTAGAACATAAGCTTTGAGTATAATTTCTTAATTTTTTTTTTTCGTTTGATATTTATGTGATTTGTGCACAGGAATCGATTTGCTGGACTGAAGAAATTGTTTCTGAATAAAAAATCAAATTAATTTTTGTGGCGAAAAGTTTATATTTCAAATGATTTTAATCATATCTTGGTGGTAATTTTATTGAGAATTTTTTTGATCTTTTGGAAAACATATTTTCGGTACTGGAGAATCGCAAATAACATTCGAAAACGGGAAAACATTAGCAACATTTAGAAAAATTCATCATTCAAATGCAGTGTCGGATTTTGGATCCAAGGGGGCCGGAACCGCTATCCTTAGGGAGGCCATATTACCTGCTTTCAATGTTTGAATTTCAAATGCACGATCGTATCGCACCTGCACGGCCGTGGGTTGGCAGGGTCCAACATGGGACTGCTTGATGTTTATAAAGTACTATCAGTTAAAACTGTATTTTTGAGCTTTATCTCATATATTCTTTGGTGTTTCCTAGCAGATAATGATGTTGATGTTCGCTGATTCAAAAAGTAAATCGGATAAGCATTGAGCTGTCCATAGTTGGGCATTGTTGAACTTGTGGTACTTGCACAACAAACCAAAGTAACCATATAATCACAAAAGAACTTTCAATGTTCATAGTTTCAGATTGAGTCAATGTCACTGAGATACGATATGATTAGTTGGGTAGTCAGATGAAACTATTCCTTTAAAAAACTAATCCTGGTTGAGTCTCGTTTTCGTTTGCATGTACCACTATTTGATATTACTAACCGCACCGAGCGTTCATTCCGAGTGGTGAGCAAACCTGAAGAAGAAGATGACAGGATGAGTGGTACCATGTTGTGTATTGTTAATGGACCTGGTCTACAATTCAAAGTTGGATTCTGTGATGATAAGTATCACATAAAAGGTAGAATAGGTAGCATCATCTTCATCGAAATGTAAGTATTATTGACAATAATCGTAACAATTGATTCGCATAAGTGATGATTCATTATATATAACATTTACATAACATAAACATTTAAATACATATACAAAAGAGAAGGGAGGGTCCAACAGGGCACCCGATTGAAGCGATTTGGACGGGGAGAGTGGGAATGCCAACTCCCCGTTGATAGCATTTCGTGGATAAAGGGCGGGCTATTCTCCCCACTCATTGGGGCATCTGCTTGTTTGGAGGCTCGTCTTTTTGACCAGTTGTGCGATCATGTTGCTTGAAAGAGTTTCTTTATTGTACCGTAGATCACCCAATCCGTTTTTGGCCCTTCATACAACGACATGTTGAGGGCAATCAGAGGTTATTAAGCTTGATCAAGACAAACAGAGAAGAGAGCCCACTGCTATTGAACTTAGTTTTCGTGCTACAATCGATGGTAAACCACTATCATCATCATCATCATCATCTATCATACAATGGCAGGTTGAGGCTATTAAACTTGATCGAGTCAAACAGTAAGGATAGTCCACAGTATACCCACAGTTGTCTTACTGCAATGAGTGGCAGCTCCATATCATCATCATAACTATCATCATCATCAATTTTGGGAAAATCTTTTGGAGGAACTTAATGAAAATTTAATTTCTTGGTGGATAGCATTATTTAAAACTACATAGATCATTCTATAAAGCTCGGATGATGATTAACTATCAATAATTTATCATTTTACTTATATGGTCACTGAATAAGTATACATCTATCTGCTGTTCTCTGATTCATGGGCAGCTTAAAATTGCTGGCAAATGGAAACACATAGATCATATTTCAAACTCGCCTAAAATAAAAAAAAAAAAAAAATCAAACCAATCTTAGAGACTGATACAAACCGAACCCCCTGCTCTAACAGATACACACCATAATACGAAAAACGCCTCCGAATCCACCCGTCCGACATCCGGTTTAACTATCCTCCACACAATTCGGAAACACCGCTTTCCAAAGGTTTCCCAGTTGGGTTTAAAAATAGCTCCACGATCCCCATCGCATAGCGTCATCGGTCAGGTTCATTTCCGATCCGCCTCGCACAGGATCGGTGCCGCTGCCGTCCGGTACGAGAGGAAATCGATACTTGAAACAAGACACAATTTCCTGTGTCCACTTGTCCAAACCCTTAGCTCTCGTTAGAAAGGGGCATGTGGGAGGGGGTGCTGGAGGACGTCGACGGTGGAATCAATTATCAAATTTCATATGCTTCATCGCTTCATTGAACACGGGAAAGGTGAGCGTAAGATATCGTTACCTCGATGCCGTCGCCGACGTCGTCGTCCATTCCGTTTAGAAGGGGCCACTTGTAGATAAATTGAAGTGTGATATCTTAAGGTTTCGTTTGCCGGGCAGTGTGTTGGGGCTTATTTGCGATTCAATTTACCTGTTTGTCATGTATGCGGGGAAGGGTTCATGCTAAGGAGATGGTGATAGGCAAGCGATCAAATAACTGCCATTCAAGACGATGAGTAAAATGTGTAAGAAAGAAATTTCTAATGGTTTGAATGTCAGCATTTAAATGGATGTCGATTCATGTGCATTCTTATCGTGCCGAGAATGTTTATCGAGCAGCAAATTTCAAGTGTGATACACGGTTCATCAATTTTGTGCCATTGAGATGAGTTTATTTTCAAATAATTCATAAGCACTAGCTGCCTATAAAAACGAGTCTGATGATGTTACTTCATCCTCATTCAGAGAACTGGTATCCCACTGCGATTTACATCATGTTGGGTACAATTTGAGCTAATTATTAATATAACGAATTTTACTACTCTTGTTTCTCGTTCCAGCACTCATCATCACGCTTAGCTTGGTCAGTGGAGGATTCGCCTCCATTCTATGTCCAGCTGCATTCAATCCGAACCAAACAATCCATCTGTCACATCCGACGAGCTGCTCCAAGTTCCTAACCTGTGTTGGTAGCCACCCCGTCGAACAGGACTGTCCTGCCGGTCTGCACTGGAACGTGGAGCAGTCTCGCTGTGATTACCCCGAATCTCCCCAATGCTCCCGAGGCAGTGATCCCGATCAGCCTTTTAACGCAGCGGCCGTTGCCAGCAGTGTCTGTTTACCACAAAGTTATCAATGTCCATTGAATTCCAAGCCCACGGAACATGTGATCTTTCTGAAGCATCGTGACTGTCGGAAGTTCTACGCATGTGTCTCGACCCATCCGGTTGAACTGTCCTGCCCTCCGAAGCTGTACTGGAACTCGCGTAGCTGTGTATGTGACTATGAGATGGAAGCTGAATGTGATGAAATGATGGTAAGAGTTGAGGAGGATGCCCCGGAAGAAACTGATGAGGAGGAACATTCCAAACAGGAGGAGGATGCCCCGGAAGAAGCTGAGGAGGAGGAGCATCCGATACAGGAGGAAGATGCCCCAGAAGAAGCTGACCAAGAACAAGCCGAGCCGGAAGTGAATGCTTATGCTGTAGAATCGGTGGTGGTTAGGAAGCGTCGAGCGGCGGACAGTTCCAGCAGCTCCAGCAATGATACAAGCACAAGCAGTGGATCTGGTTCAAGCGGATCTACAATCGCGTCAGGAGCTGATATTCGATCTGTTTCATCAATCGTCATGGTTGTGGCAACGGTCATTATGAGCGTTTTGTAAGTGGCATGAACTCCGCTTCAATATAATGGGTGCAGGTGATAGGTTATGCGGTTAAATATAATATATATTCATCATGAAGCAAACTACAACTTTTGACGTAGGACTATGTCTTTGATTTCTATATGGGGGTACACTTTGTGAAAACCGAAAATGAAACATGTAACAAATTGAGAAAGATTTTGAACGTTAATAACTCAGCTGCCCCTGGTCCAATTTCGATAATTTTATCACCAATCGATCAGAAATATGGCTACGCATCGATAACAATGCTTTTGAATGTTGATTTTCCACAAGAAACATTTAAAAAACTGGTAAATATCCAGCATTGTCCAAAAGCGTCGAATTAACTAACAAATCCACCAATTACCTACATGCATATGCTGCTTCCCCAGCACAGTCGTCAGAGAGTAGTAAGTAGACGAAACAAGTCGAAGTGGCATTCGTCTCCGATCCTCGGGCGCGTGTGAATAGGGAGGATGGAATTGCGTAATATTTTGCTCACTCATCGCCATATTCAGAACCAAACGCAAATTCTTCGAGATAACCACCATCCGTCGTCTGGCTCGCCGTGGCGGTGTCTGACGTATCTCCGGTCTGATTTACGAGGTGTGCTGAAGGTGTTCCTGAAAAATTAGATCCTTGATGCTGTCACCTACACTAAACACGCCGAGCGTAAGCTGCCATGGATGTCATCTACGTTTTGCAGTGACAGAGACGCACTCTGTTTGGTTTCGGAGGTTAAATCATCACCAGCTTTGGCAACAAAAAGGCCCTTTTCAGGGCCACCAAGCTCATTACAGTAAAGAGTAGGAATATAATTCATCTGCCTGTTTGTCCATATTCAGAACCAAACGCCTCCAACGACCACACAAAATGCTCATGTAATCAAACTGGAAGCAGGGGTACACATTATTTTGATCAACCTTGATCATCTTTGAATCGCCACGGCCGGATATTTTCAATGGAAGAAGCAACAATCTATCATCTAATTCGACGAAGACGGCAGGAAACATTTGTGAAGCCGAGTTATTTACGAAAGAGAGTGTCGGTGAAGAGAATCGATCAATGTAGATAGGACCTATTGAAAAGTGACGTGAGATTTGTTTTCCGTACTGAGCTCCAATGCTACCGAATGCTACCAAATGGGAGGCAGCTCCCACACTTGAACCCTACCAATCAACCCATCAACTCAACCGGGGACCAACGGCTTTACTTCCCGAAGGAAGGCGTGATCAGAGATGTTATGCCTTAGAACATGCCGGTGGCGCCGACTGAGATTGGACCCAGGCCTGCTGGGGTGAGAGGCGCTGATATCTTTCTAGGTGATATCACGGCGAATGAGAACGACCCAAATTTGAGTTTAGTTATCTCAGAAATAAGAAATAAAGTGCAGGAACTCAGCGATGAGTAAATTTGCCTCATATTTTCCCAGGTTTTTCCAGGATTTTCCAGGGAAAAATTCCCGAATTTGAGAAAAGTAAAGATTGGATTTACTCAGTCTATTGGTACTACTACGAGACTGAATAAAATTTTCGTCAATTTCCTCATTTTCTGGCAGATTTTTTAGGTTTTCCACAGGAAACCATGAGACAAATTTACTCATTGCTGAGTTCCTGCACTTTTGGCGATTATGAGTGAACTAAACTCAAATTTGGGTCGTTCTAATTCGCCGTGTACGCAAAATGAAAAGAGCCAGTGTCGCTACTTGATAGCAAACTACTCATAATGGGAGGAGTCTTTGTAGCTTTTATACCACTTGGTTGCACATCATTCTGCTTTAACCTGAAAAGATATAAAAGAGCGCTGCTGTATGGCATTAGCTCATTTTCGCTTCGGACAACGTGGTGAGTAGCAATAGCAGCAGTAGGAAGGTGGTGGCTAGTCCACTCCTTCACAACCAACAAGCAACAATTGACTGGTCGTGGCAAAGGAGGAAAAGGTCTGGTAAAGGAGGTGCCAAGCGTCATCGCAAAGTTCTTCGAGATAACCGCCATCGGTCGTCTGGCTCGCCGTGGTGGTGTCAAACGTATCTCCGGTCTGATTTACGAGGTGTGCTGAAGGTGTTCCTGGAAAATGAGGTCCATGATGCTGTGATGCGTGATGTGATGTCCTCTTCAATAAAACAGCCCTTTTCAGGACCATCAAGCTTACATCAGTAAAGAGTTGGAATAGAATTTATCTGTGCTTGTTTGTCCATATTCAGAGCCACAAGCCCCCAACGACCATACAAAATGCTCTCCAGAGTTGTAATCTTGTAACCAAACTTGGAAGCAGGGGTGCAAGTGATTTTGATTGATTCTCTTAATCAACTTTCTCTTTGAAAAAGATTACTACAAATTTGGTACGCCTACAATTCAAAAACGGAAAGAGTTGAGATAATTGATAATTGATCAATTAAAAGAACTAAATGCTATTCACATTTATTCCGTCCACTAGCGGTCCTACGTCAAGCTTTCGTTCGTGCCCCAAGGCACAGACCCTTCTACTTTTTTTGAATTATCTGATGACTGTGAATTATGGTCCTCGTAATTCAATTAGTAACGAGTTTAACTGACCTACAAAAAAATCTTCATATCGTGTAGATTTCGTCAATTCAGAGAAAAATAGATTATTTGACCACCGCAGTTTTAAAAGCACGTTTTGGACTTAACTCAGTCGGTAAGGGCGCAGTTACAAATCAATACCATGCTGGAGTTGGTCGGGTTTGGTTCCCGGTCCGGTCTAGAGATTTTTCGGGTTGGAAAATTGCCACACAATTATACTAATTAATAGTTGTGGAAGTGCATCTATAACACTAAGTTGAGAGCACGCAATACACTAATATGCGATAAGCAATATGCTTGACATGCAAAGAATAATAATATTAAGAAGAAGACAAACTTATCCGGTGTGTACAAAAATGAGAGTTAGCACACTGGCATATTCCAGAAGTTGTGGATTTCGCAAATTCCTGAAACTAAAAGAACTCCGAATTATCTTCCATAGAAGAGGCACCTCACACGACGTGACTTTTGTCACCTCACTGTAGAGATAACATGAGAATGTTTATAAATAAATGACTTCAAAATAGACACCCATGCATCTTCTTAAAGAAATATTAAAAACCGAAATATTTCCTTCATTATTGCAAAGCCTTTCTATCTTCCGTTCGATCTTCATTCGTTTGGGTAATTCCACTTTCAGAGGTCTAATTAACGGTTGCTTGAAAAAGCGGTAACTAGCAAAATAATGTGTTTTCCCAGCTATAAAATGAACAGCAGCGGAGCAGTTTGGCTCATCCAACTGGAACGCTCGCTCCGTAGGGGCGAAAAACATTGAGCTTGCAGACTTCCTCCGCAAGCACGACATCGACGTGGGCCTTCTCACCGAGACCCACCTCAAGACCGGTGACAGCTTCTGGCTGCCCGACCACAGCATTGTCCGGCTTGATCGCACCAGCTCCAGGGGGGGCGGTGTCGCGGTCATCATCAAGAAAGGCATCAAGTACTGCACCCTACCCCACTACCGCACTTCCATCATCGAGGCCGTCGGCGTTGAGGTGGAAACATCGACCGGAAACGTCCGGTTCATCGTTGTCTACTGCCCCCGGCAATGTACCGTTAGCAATGGTACAGCACAGCAGTTCAAGAACGACCTTGCCATCATAACCCACACCAATGCCCGCTTTGTAATCGGAGGGGACCTGAACGCCCGGCACGAGGCCTGGCGGAACTACCAGCAGAACCAGAACGGCCGCCTGCTATTCGACCATTCCCAGCATGGTCTCTATTCTGTCTGGTTTCCGGACGAACCAACCTTCACATCACCGACGGGCAACCCATCGACGCTGGACCTGTTCTTGGCAAACACCAGATTAGCCAAGCCGGTTGCCGTCAACGACCTGAGTTCGGACCACCAACCGGTGCTGACCGAGCTGGGCTTCAACGTGGCCCCTGCACCGTGCCAGCGGAAGGACTACCATCGAGTCAACTGGGTCCAGTTTCGACGCGTGGTCGACCGCCACATCGACGACAACCCACCGCTCGACACAGTGGAGGACATCGACCGGGCCCTGGAGGGTCTCCATCAAGCCATATCCATGGCTGACGAAGAGTGCGTTCGACGAGTTCCTGTGAGGGGTAAGTTTCAAGCAATTGATTCCCACACCAAACTCTTGATTCGGCTCAGAAATGTTCGTAGACGCCAGTTTCAGCGGACTGGGGATCTGCAGTGTAAATGCGAAATGGTCGATCTGAATCGGCAGATCGCTTCCAGAATGATCTCAATCCGGAACGAGAGTTTCGGGCGGCTCGTTCAGAACCTGGACGACCGTTCCAGACCATTCTGGAAGGTTGCCAAGGTGCTGAAGTCTCACCCCAAGCCCATTCCACCACTTAGAGTCAATGACGAACGGCTTATCACCAACGAAGAGAAGGCCAATGCAATTGGGGAGCACATTGCCCAGTCGCATTTGCTTGGCTCTACAATCCCAAGTCCACTCGAGAACCAGGTTGTGCAGTGCGTCCAGACGTTAGATGCCTCCCCTTGTGCCGTCCCTCCAGAAGAACGGATTACAGAGGAACAAATTTGCTCAGCGCTGAAACACAGTACGAACATGAAGGCTCCCGGGTTTGACGGAATATTCAACCTAGAGTTGAAAAATCTCAGCGCGAGGGTGCACTCGCTGCTGGCTGCCATCCTCAACAGATGCTTGGAGCTGCACTACTTTCCAAGCATCTGGAAGGTGGCAAAAATCATCCCGATCCGCAAACCTGGGAAAGACCCTTCACTACCGTCAAGCTACAGACCGATTAGCCTGCTCTCAGCGCTGAGCAAGCTGTTCGAAAAATTGATCCTCAGCCGACTAAACAAGTTTGTGGAGGAACATGACATTCTTCTTCCGGAACAGTTCGGGTTCCGCAAGGGGCATTCCACCAATCATCAGCTAGTGCGGGTGATGAATAACATCCGAAGTAACAAAGCTGTATCCAAGTCCACAGCCATGGCCTTGTTAGACGTCGAAAAGGCGTTTGACAATGTCTGGCACGACGGACTTATATACAAGCTTTGTAACTCCAACTTTCCACCATACCTTGTGA